CGAGAATTTAAAAGTTTTCACCAGCCGCTTCTCTTTTTATCCCTCCATCTGCCCCCTCCCCCCTCCCTCTCCCGCCCGTTTCTCTTTGCTTCTTCCCTTTCTCTTTCTTCCGTCGAACATCTCGTTCTCTTTCGACCCGAACTCGATAGTCCAACTCGATTCACGGCTCGTTAGCGGTGCTTCCATTCCCTTCGTTTCGGTTTTCTCTCGTAAAAGGACAACGCCGTATATGCGGAGACTCGTACTATCGATCGCGACGGAGTGTCCCATTAAATCGGTTGCATCGTGCGTGGAATACGCGTATGGAACAATTAAACGTAGCATTGTCTCGCGGGCTACTACCCAGGTACCGTTGGTCGAGATGCGCACGGTCGGTCGTCTACCTATGATCTTACCCGCAAAAATGCACCATTCGAACGTGTAAATCTCGAGAATCAACCTCGAACTGCCACGGCGGTCAGGGTTTTATCCACGATCGTATGTCATGTTCATGGGGTAGTAGCTTGGATGAGAGCTACTACGACTGATCTTAGCAAGCGATTCTTATCTTTCTCTTCTTTTCGTTAAGATTAAGGAAAACAAATACAACAAAATCATAGAGAAGCACATACACGCACGTAGAGCATGCTAGGCTGCGATCAAAAATCTAACGAAAAATGAGTGGAAAATAAAACGATAAGAAGAATGAGGAGAGATAGAGAAAGCGAGTGGTCGCTCTCTCGGAGAAAACTTGAATCGAAACTAAAATGATCTATCGTGATATCAAAATTCGCTATAGAAAACAGTTGCGTAAAACGTGCTGGAGGAATACAGAGGAGAAAAAAAATTACGAAAATGAGAGAGCATTACGTCGAGCCTGTACTCGGAATTGGCGGAAAGAAGTAAGAAGTTGCAGGAAGCTGTGTGACGAGGAGAAATAATAAGGGGATTTTGAACGGGCTGAGTGTTCAACTCACTCGTTGCAGGGTGGACCAGCATTCCTCGAGGGTGCGTTCGCTGATGTTGCCCATTCCTCCGCCTCCGCCGGCGCCTCCCGCACCGCCAAGTCCCGCCGCAGAGGCACGAGACTATCGGGCAAGACAGTGAGGCTCGTGTTAGTTTACTCTTCTCTACCCTTTCTTCTATCCGGTAGCACTACAAAATCGCTTTCTTTCCTAACAGCCGAGGCAGGCAGATGCTCTGGCCTATAGTAATTCGTGCAACTACCCTCGATTCGTCTGTCGTCTATCGTTCTCTTCCACGAGGAAGACATCGCACGCGTGGATGTGCGTGAAAACTGAAAGAGGCTGTAGAAATTTGGCAGGGGAAATGGTTGAACATTGTACGGGGCTCTCTTCGCAAGAGAAATAAAGAAGAGTACGTTTAAATCGCGTTACCATCGCGAGTCGTTCGACATTTTCCTCTGCCATCTTCGTCTAAATCGCATGGGATATCGTGGTAAAATTGCGCTGTATGGAAAATCTGCGTTCGTAACGAACTCTCGATATTCTCCTGTGTAATTTGCGTAAGCAAAAAGAGATTCGGATTCCTATTAGCGGTGAGACCGAAGCGGATCTGCGGGGATATATTTACTTAGTTTCCTCGTATCGAAGCTCGCGGACTGTGGCATCGCAGAAGCACGCCGCGATATTTTCTCGAGAACATCTTCTCGGCGTACCGTATGACGTATGCGTATAGTATTATCTGTGTTGCGCGGGTCAAGAACCCCGAGAGACGACGTATCTGCATCTCCTCGCATCGGTGTGCGTGGGCCGCGTTTGCATTTGTGGCCCCGTGACTCTAATGTGTGCGTGGCTGGCTGCTTGCTTGCCTGCTAGCTGCAGCGAGCGCGCGCGCGAACGTTCACTCTCTCTTACTCTCTTACTATCTCTCTCTGTCTCTCTCTCCCTCGCACTCTCACTCTCTCTTTCTCTGCCTCGCTCCCGCGGTCTCTCGTTCTCTCACTCTCCCTCTCTTGCTCGTTCTCTCGCGTATAGGTACATGTACGTGCACGCGTACGCGTGTCGAAGTACGCGATGTGGTAAGTCAACGTATTCCGATGTGCGTGAACCATGGTCAGTGTATCTCGGTACAGTCGCAGATTCAAACAGTCAGCGAAATTGTCGACGATGTAGCACGATTTATTGAAAGTCATCCAGTTAAGCCCGATACGAACGTTTTCGTCGTATCCTGTCGATTCTGACAGGTTTCAGATATCTCTTGCTCTTTTGTCGCGATCGCGAGCTGATCCAGATCTTTCTAACTCGTTCAGCGTCAAGGGTTGCGGGAAATTTTAACGTTTCGAAGCGATGTTACGGTTTAACGAAGTTGTGGAATCCACGAACGCGTAGTTACGATATTGAAATTCGAACACCGGTGTGGCAGTCGTTATCGATGGCAGAATAAGCGAGCAGAGAATAAGAGATTTCGCCAGATCGAAAGACGGGACGCGTATTTTTCTGCGTTAGTAGAAATTGTTTGAAAGTATTGTCCGGCGTCAGTCGGCCCAAGTGAATGACCCTATTTATCGGCGCATTATGCACTTTTATCGCGGTTGCCTCGTCCCAGTTATTTATCTGTTCTCTCTGCAGCTACGGACGTGAGAAGTCTAACTGAGATCGAGAAAATAAAAGCGGGATATAGAGAGAGAGAGAGAGAGTGTGTGAGCGAGAGCTGCGAGTGGGGGAAAGAAAGAAGGGGGGAGAGAGAGGAGGAGAGAATAGTAGAGAGAGAGAGAGAGAGAGAGAGAGAGAGAGAGAGAGAGAAAAAGGTTATCGTTCCCCGATCGATCATAAACGCATTCTCACCTGTAGCTCATTGACAAGTTTTTCCGTCAGGCTGGCGTCATGGGAGTCCTGGCTCGTCGCTCCTGGACTCAGCATCGAGTTCTGGGAGTTTTGTTGCTGGTTTGCTGACATGTTCATTCCGGCGAGGGCCCCGTTTTGCGCGATGCTCCCGGCCATGCTGAGCGCCTGTTGTTGCAGATTTTGCGTCAGATTTTGAGCTTGTTGCTGCAAATTTTGCGTGAGGTTTTGCGCTGCTTGTTGTTGTAGCGCCTGCTGACTTAGACTCTGGCCGAGGTTTTGGGTTAAATTTTGAGCCTGTTGCTGCAACGATTGCGATAAATTTTGCGCCTGACTTTGGATGTTCTGTTGCAGGTTCTGGCTAGCCTGGCTAAGATTCTGCGGCTGGTTGAGCAGTTGCTGTTGTTGTTGTGGCGATAGGCTCGGTGTCAGACTTTGCGCAAGATTGTGTTGCAAAGTTTGTCCCAGGTTCTGTTGCATGTTCTGCGTGAGAGCTTGAGTCAACGCCTGTCCCAGGTTCTGATTGAGCGCCTGAGCTGCCTGGACCGCTTGAACAGCCAGCGACGGACTGGACGCTTGGGACATGGTTTGTTGTGCCTGTGCTAGGCTGTGAAGACTCTGGGCCATGCTGGACGCGATGGCACCCTGATGGTCGGCTTGCGGTGACGGCGTCGCCGGTGCCGGAGAAGACTGATGCTGTGCTCCTTGACCCGTTTGTTGGCCCATGGACATCGCGTGCTGTTGTTGTTGCTGCATCTGCTGCTGCGGACTGGCGGTCTGTCCTAATCCCGAGTTAGCGGTCTGCTGCACCTGCGAAACGCCGGTCTGCTGTTGCTGCTGTTGCTGTTGCTGCTGACCGAGCGGACTGTGCATCTGTTGCACTTGCTGCTGGTGTTGCTGTTGTTGAGACGAATTCGAGATAGGGCTGTGTTGTAACCCCGGCGAAGGCTGAGGTGGCCCTCGTTGTGGCTGTTGCCAATAGTCGGACATCTTAAAGACATGTTGCCGCAGCGCGTGAAGATTCGCGGCCGCCGCTGTGACGGCCGAGGCTTGCACCTCCATGGGTTCCGTTTCGTTTTCGAGGTCTGGTTCGGGCGAGCTACAAGGATCCTCGTCTTCCTCCTCGTCCTCTCTCTCCGTGATGTCCTCGTCGTCTTCGTCGTGGATCCTAACACCTCTGTCCGTTTCGGGCCCAGCCGCTCCTCCTCCAGCAACACCAGCAACACCACCGCCACTTCCACCGCCGCCACTTCCGCCACCGCCACCGCCACCTCCACCGGGTCCACCGCCACCTCCTCCACCTCCTATCCCACCCCCCGAATCGCCAGAGTGGAGATGATTTCCGGGATGATGCTGATGATGATGATGTTGTTGAAGGTGATGGTGTGGACGCGACTCTGGATTTTGGCCCTGTTGCTGCTGATGTTGCTGCTGTGGATGCTGCTGCTGCTGTTGTTGTTGCTGCTGCTGCTGTTGATGGTGATGTTGCTGCTGGTGATGGTCCAAACCAAAATCGGGTTGGGTTTGCGTCTGGGCACGTAGGTCCAGGGCCGCCGTCGCGTCCGAAATTTTGAGGCCTTCGCGAGAAGCCCGGGCTACCCCCTTCCGGCGCAGCTTGCCCGCTTTTTCGCACCCCTTCCGGTAAGCAGCTCGACGGCCGGCACACTTCCGCGCTCGCCGCCGTTCCTTCCTATCTTTCTCTCCGCTGTATCGCGCTCTTCTTAGCCCAGGATCGTCTTAAGGACAACGATCCTCGCTCGACGTGGGCGGCGGGCAACGTCAGTTACTCGCCACCTGCTTCGACTTCCCGGGCCTGCTGCTGCTGTCTCCCGCTACTTGGCTCATCAAACTCTTTCCATCTCGCTCTCTGTGACGGTACTTTTATTTCGGCCTCTTTCCTAGCTTCTCTCCTTCCTTCGTTTTCCCTCTTATTCGCGTATTTCAGCGATCCGTTGTTTTTCTTTCGTCTCGTAGGATGGTCCTTTCTTCTCCACTTTGATCAAATTCGATATTTCGGAACGCGTCTCCCGTAATTTCGACACCGTTCGCTCTTTATATCTCACGCGTCTGTGTACGCGCGTTTTCGCAGTTGGGTGGCTCTCGCAGATACTCGTCTCGTCTTCTTTCTTTTTATCTCCTTCCTCTAGTCTGCATTCGCACGTTGGTACGTACGTATTTCTCTTCTACATGTGTTCGTCTGATGTCCGCGTGTATACGTGTATGCGTTTGTATCTGTATCTGTGACCGCGCGCGTGCGTGCGTGCGTGCGTGCGTGCGTGTGTGGGTATCGGTGCGTGTGTATGCCTGATGAATCGATGCGCGCGCGAATGGACGTTCTCCGACAGTGGAGAACACCCTATTTCTTTCTTCTATCTAACTTAAAGTCTATCGTACACTTAAGTTCAGGTTAAAATTCAGGATTGCCCAGCCCGGACGGTGTGAACGAGAAGGACAGTCCGTGTCGCAGACGCGAATTCCGTTGGTTGAAGTATGTCGTAGCTCTATATGCTGCCGGGTGAGAAATCGCACTCGCGGATGATACTGCTCGTCCCGTTTTGCCCTGAGTAGTTAGTAGCCCCGTTATGTCGATGTGCGTGTGTGTGCGTGTGTGCGAACGTGCAAACCCTTAGTCGAAAGCCTTGGAAAAGGGACTCGCGCGTCGCGTGTGTGATACGTCGTGTAATTTCTTCGAACCGGGACGGCAGTTCTCTTCTCTCGGGATTTCGGTCACTCCGTCTGCACAGTATTAGAACGTGTCGTAGATGCCGGTATCCGTGCCGATGACAGTTTTTCCGTTATCGCTTCAACCGTACTACGATCCTTCTTCTTTACGATCCTTCGTCCTTTTCCTCGCGTCCGTTCACGACTCCTCCTCGAAATGCGACTCTAAGTTTTTAACTCTTTAAAGGAATTCTATTCGATTATCGATTAACCGCTCGTCGTTACCGATATCGTCGATGGTAGTTGTGTTTGCTTCTTATTATCGTTTAGGTTTAATAATATTGCACTTAGGTACACTCGTTTTTTGAACACACTGAAATATATATGTATGCGGCGCGAGGTTCTCTCTAACGAGCTTCTTCTCTTCTTTCTTCCTTTCTTTTTCTCTCTTTCCCCTACCGATTTTCCACTTGCTTCTTCCTCTCTTTTACATCTATCTCTAATCCAGATCTTCCGCTTTCTTCGCTACTGCTTCTCCTTCTTCCTCTTCTTCTTCTTCTTCTTCTTCTTCTTCTCTTCCTTTTCTTCTTCTTCTTCTTCTTCTCCTTCTTCTTCTTTCCTCTTCCTCTTTCGCTCTCTTTCTCTCGTTCACTCACTCTTTCTCTCTTTCTCTCTACTTTTCCTTTACTCTCTTCTTTCTCTCCGCTCTTTCTCTGTCTTTCTCTATTTTCGCTATTGGATCACTTCCGTCGCAACCCCGCTTCTACGCGTCTCGCTTTCGCTCTTCTTTTACTCCTGTGTTCCTCCGCTTCTTCTGCTTTGCTCGTCTTATTCTGCTTCTTCCGCTTTGTCCAGTCTTCCTCTCCTGCGCGGGAATCTCTTGCTGCAACGCGTCTCCCGCTCGAAGCTGTAATTTAAAAAGAAAACCATATTTTTATGCCGGTCGTTTCTCACCGACGTGGATGCGTCGATTGGTTTCAACCGGTACGTTTCCACGACAATTCCCACTAATTTTCACTCGATCTCGCGTTGAGACGCATTCTAAGCATGCAACTAAATTATCGTTCTTAGCCTCGGAGGTTACGGGTTTCCGACAATCTCGCACTGAACGTGATTCGTGAAAGAAAAGTCTACTACTTGCGGACACGTTTTATCACTCACGGCTGCAACGCTAATTCTTCAGACATTCACAGCACAAACTTTTGGCACCTGACGATTCGATCTCCTACGAAGGGAAATTTTCGTATGCAACGGTGGGGAGCTATTCGACAATTGGGGCAATGAGGGGAAAGAATTTTGGGATTTGTCCGAATGTCGGTTATCTTTAAGCCAGAAGCGACAGATCTCGATGTTTCGCAAACTATTATCGTATTACCGTTCAAGCAACCAATTTCACGACGACAAAACTTATCACTTCAACTGAAAGAATTCTGTCTTGCACTTCTAATCTTGCACTGTTTTTCATCTTGCTCTATTACGATGAACGAGATGTTGGAATAGTTTGACGAGAACACGTGAGGCAGGAACATTTTACCGTCGCGCGTCATACCGCTATGGATCGAAGAAATGTATTCTCAAAATATCATAGATATCTATCGTCCGAATATTTTTACTCTTCTTTAATAGAATTTTCGGTCGAGGAGAAAAGTGATGGAACACGGAAGAATCACCGCGGTGTTCGATCATCTCATTTTACATTGCCTTTCTCGTGACTACACTCGTGCCTTATACACGAAAATAGTAGCGAAACACGAGTCTTTTTCGTGGTTTAAATCATCCGTTCATTAGCTATTCACCGAGTGCTTTGCACGTCCGCTGTCATTTATCGGTATTAATTAATTCGATGAAAACAAGTCGCGCACGATTACGAATGCAAGCTTACTAAAATACTCTATCACGTTTTTCTGTCTCGCAACGTTGAACAGCGCATCGAGATACACGAACGAGGGCGAAAGAAATGCGATTTCTAGCAATGCTTTATGTTCGACAGGTCACACTGCGAATTGTTTTCTAAGCTAAACACGAGAATCTAGGATTTAAAGGGACTACGCGACGAACGTCGCGATTCGTCGCGTTGAACCGTTGAATGGGAAAAGATGGATCCGATCACCTTCGAAAAAATCATCTGCATCGTTCGCGGCATTGATAATTTCTTTCGACATCGACACGATATCCCGTTGTCGGATTTATCTAGCGTCGGATCTTGGCGAACAGTTTGGTCAGGAGTTTCAGGACGTTGGACAAGCGGCAAAGATACCCCTCGTCCCAATAATTCCCCGTTGCGGCTTTTTTCGTTCGTTCTGCCGTATCTTAACAAGGCACTCCATCGCCGGTTTGATGCTGGGATTAAGAAAGGTTCGAGTCGTTCACGATCGCGACGAAACACTGCAGACGACGATGACGTGTACCGGGCATGTCAGGGAAGTGGAATGGAGGGGGTGAATGAGCGGTGGTTGGCCGAAAGAGGGGAAAACTGACCAAAATCACAGTGGAAAAAATAAACGTTCAGGGGATCCCTCGGACACGTTCTGATCTCTAGCCCTGAAGTGATCACTTTTTTTTCAAGTCTCGCGGCAGGTGTAGCACTGAGAAAACCCGCGAGTAAGAATGCACAGAATCGATGGGAAAATCCAAGATCCCTTACAGTTCCTATCGGATCGGATCAGAAGATTTGCCGTGAAAAGAGAAGCGTCGAATCGGTACCAAAGATCAGGGTAAGCGATGATAGTATAAACGCACTTAATCGACTTCCCTCCTCAGAGTCGAGTGTGCAGAGAGTATATGTCTGGCAAGGTGATGCGTTGTTCCAGTATTCCGTTGCAAACACGAAGACGAAGGTGCACCACGACGACGGCGACGACGACGACGGCGACGACGACGACGGCGACGACGACGACGACGACGACGACGGTAACAACAATGATGACGACGACGACGACGACGACGACGACTCACGATGACGACAACGGCGCGTGTACGATCGAGGAAAAAGCTCTCTCCTCTTCCGCGTTCTCGAGTCCTTGACGGAGGAGGAACCGAAACTGACTCGGGTCTGCGGCTCGCGAGAAACGCTAAGTCCTTCTCCGTCGGGGGCCGGTGGTGGCGCGCTTCTCAGACCGCGTGCGTCTGACTAAAAGCCACCCCCTCGTGCCTTAAAGAACGCGTGTTCGGGTAGGGGCGTTGTCTTAGGTGGTGCGCGGTCGCGAAATTTCTGGCTGCCTCCGGCTCCCTTTGCCGGCTCCCTTTTCCATCTAAGAGATTCCTGAGCCAGGGTCCTTAGGACCTGGGCCCCGGCCCAGGTCACCGTCGACGGACGTCCGACCCTTGACCGGTACTCCCACGACCAAAATCTACCTCCGAGAGGACGAAAAACTGAGCCTGCCCTAGGACAGCAGTTTTCAAGCCACCCCTCTTTTCCTTTGCCCCCACCAAAGCTACGACGAGGCGCGCGCTCTGTCTCCCCCTTTTCCTCGACACTCTCGGCCACCCCTCTTGCCCTGCTCCTTCTGCCCAAGCTCCTCGTTGTGGGTGGGGGATTCTCTGCTGCCGACTCCACCGACGTCTCCGACGGGGGTAGCCTTTCTGAAAGGGGTGAGAAAGAGAGTGGGGTGTTCACTCTTTCTCTCTTTTTTTTACCTTCGCTTCTCCGCCGGTACCTCTCTCTATCCCTTTTTCTCTCCTTTTCGTTTCACCACCTTCTCTTCCTCTTTGTCCTTCTTCCAGATTGGAGACAGAAAGGCAACGTGCGAGAAGTCTGACGGTCCTTGTCTCTGCGTACCTGGGTAACCGATACTACCCTCTGATTCGAACTCGCGTTATAAGACGAATGTAAACACGCGTCTACTTTTCTTCTCAGTTTCTCCAAGATTGCCCTTGAAAATTTCAGCCGGAACTTGTCGAGACGTAGCTCGGCCGAGACCTGTCGCTCTCGTTCCTATTTCTTTTCTAGCTTCATCTCCACGATGGTCTCGCGAAACGGTTTCCGCGTAGTCTCTCTAGCCGTATACACCGTGCGAACATCGCGACACGACGAATTAGACTGACCGAAAAATTCTTGTCGAGGGCTCTTGTAAGGGGGTGTAGCGGCAGTCTGAGGTACGAATAAAAAGAAGGGGACCGTCGTATAAAAATGGCCTCCTCCCTTATGCTCCGTATGGCCACACACGCGTGACTAACCAGTACGA